CGGTCCGTGCATACTCACGACGGTGATCGAAAAAGCGGTTATTGTCCTCGGAATGTTGCAACGGGAGAATAGTTGAGTGGATAAACGAATCTATAGATTCTAAATGAGCTTGGAGATCTGCTGGCAACTCGAAATTCATTTTGATGATGTTGTTACCGATAATGGTAGGTCCTGCAGACTACATGCATACCAAGTACATATGTATAAACTTCTCTTGTTCCCCGCATTCGGACCTCGGCGACCACGCATATCAGTTTAATACCCGAGTACGTATGTATCAACGCTCTCCCCAATTTAGTCTGCCCAGGGATTTCCATATTTCTACTTTGAAGAAGGGAAACGCCAGGGGAAAACCCTAGGGAAGAACCCCTAGTGTTAGACAAATCCGGCGGATGCGCGGAAGCTCAGGGGTTTATTTCAGCCTATTCCAGCGCCTCCCTCCCCACCTCCCCATCCTACCCTGCAGGATGAGTGATGGCTTGAAAAATTCAAAAATTTCAGGATGTGCAGCTTGTTGAAATACGAGGTGTTGGCTGGCGGCAGCAAACCCGCTGTTTTACGTAGATGATGGGTACGGAGTAGTATGCTGACAATATAAATGGCTATAAATGGCTACGACCTAAGGGAGAATTTGTGTGAAAACCCCCTATTTTACGGTCTCCCTTGGCGCCCAGGGAGAACATTAGTACTACGCCGTGCCCTTTGAATTTGTTGTTTACACAACGGGTCACCATTATTTGCTGTGACTGTGCCGTGTCTTAGCGAAGCGGTTGCCATCTTCAAGGTTCCGCTCCAACGTCTGAGCACAATGATCTCGAGATCGGCCTGTGATATTACGGTAAGCAGCATCGTCAATGATACATATCCCCCTATTAACAAATGATACCCAGCAAAGATTATGTCTTATGTTTTATGGACTTTTGACGAACAATGGCGTTGTCTGCGGGGCCCTTTTTTTGACATTTCCGCTATTCCCAAATGGGACCCGTGGCCCTAACCTTGGAACTTCATGAAGAACCTGCAGACATCTCTACCACCTCATCACTCCGAAGACAACAGGAATGAGTGGAGCACAACGTGAAGAGAATCGAAAATCACTCTTCAACCATCGTACATCATTGATATGATTATTATTCTCCTTGATTCTGATTCTTCAGCTGCCGGCAGTTTCAACGCTTTGTCCCTCCGGGATCCTGAAGGTTCCACCAAAGCCCCGTGCCTCGAACGGGGCTTGGAAGTCATCAATCCGAACCTCTTATAAGGAGTGAAATGGATGATCCTGAGCTCTGGACACCTTTTTAAGACCCACGGCCGAACTAGTATCCATATGATTAGCCATTTCTGTTGGCACGGATGTGCCGCGATAGGTTGCAGAAGATTGCCACTAAACGAGACCCCAGATGTTCTTATTTTGCCCCTTCCCCATCCACAGAGGTACGACGCTCAAGGTTACCGACAGTATGGATTCCAATCACCGTTCTGTATCCATTAGGCCTAGTGGCATAGTGTCCTTCTTGACAGGTGTGGGGCAACAATCCAAGAAGATAAAAAAGGACCGACCGAGAACTGGAAGATTAGCATTCGCGTTTTTTCTCGTCTACAACGATTTTCTCCCCCCATTCAAATCTACGGACCATGGATTGGTGGAATGCAGTTGTCGCACAGCCCATCTTGGCCCTTGGGGTGGTTGGAGTGACCTATGGGGTGTGGTTGGCAACATATCGGCTATGGTTTTCACCACTCGCCCATTTCCCAGGACCAAGACTGGCCGCTCTGACAATGTGGTACGAGTTCTATTACGATTCGTTCCTCGAAGGCCAATACACCTTCCGAATCGCTGAGATGCATCGCAAATACGGCCCGATTGTGAGAATCAGTCCCTTTGAATTACACATCGACGACCCAGAGTACTATGAGATATTATACTCTCGAGATAAACCGAGAAACAAATCCTTACATTTGACTGGCATGTTTGGGGCACCGGCCTCAGCCTTTGGCTCAGTCGACCACCATCGCCATCGGATACGCCGACAACCCATGAACCCATTCTTTTCTCAGCAGCGAATTCGACAGTTGGAGCCCATGATCCGGAGAATGATCGATAAGCTGTGTAAAGGAATGCGAGACTGGAAGGAGAGAAAAACACCGCTGCATGTTTATCATGCGTTTAATGCCTACACGACAGACGTGGTTGTGGAATATTCTATGGGTGAATCGTTCCATTATTTGGATGACCCTGATTTCACACCGCAGTGGTCAAAGACAATTGAGGCAATTGTGCAAGTCGGTGTCCAGTTCAAACAGTTTCGCTGGGTCTTCAGCTTATTTGAGCTGCTTCCACGGTGGCTAGTTGTGAGCATCAACCCTCACATCGGCCCGGTAATTGATCAGAAAATGGAAAGTCTGCGACTCGCGAAATCCATCATTGATAGCCAAACCGCTGGTAGGAACTTGGCAGATGATAATGGTAGTGTGCCGAAAGGTACATTGTTTCATGCGCTACTAGACAGCAAGCTTCCCCCAGAGGAGAAGGCGCCTGGCCGCTTGAGCCAAGAGGTTTTCACTGTCATCTCGGCCGGAGGAGAAACAACTGCGAAGAACTTGACGACAGTCACCTTCCATCTACTTAACAACCCAGATAAGCTACAAAGGCTACGGGACGAGCTAAACCGACTCGACCCCGATGGAACCGCAACTTTGGTCGAATACGAAACAATGCCGTACCTCGTAAGTTGTTCATTCGCAATCTCGATTTTTGATATGTCAAAACATCTGACGATATAGTAGACATCTGTTATGCTGGAGGGCCTAAGGTATGTAAAGCTTTCGCCCTTTAACTCCCCCTGGCGCGACTGTATCATTTGCTTATTTGACCCTCATGAAGAATCACCAACGCTGTGGCAACAAGGCTTCAGCGCAGCTCTCCAGATCAAGTTATGACTTACAAGGACTGGATCATCCCTCCCGGGGTACGATATCTGCATCCCCCTTTTTGCGGTTGCCTAGACCTTCTTTTGACAGTATAAACCAGACACCTGTGGGGATGACCAGCTTATTCATGCACCACAACGAAGATATTTTCCCAAACTCGCAAAGCTTCACCCCAGAGCGATGGATGGACCTGGAGCAGAGGAAAAGCCTGGAGAAGTATCTGGTTGCTTTTAGCAAGGGATCAAGACAGTGTATTGGAATTCCGTATGGATATATTCTTTGTTTGTTCTATTCAAATCGTGTACTAACGTCTGTTGACCAGCCTCGCGCGGGCGGAGATTCTTTTAGCAATCGCCACCATTTTCCGGGAATTTGAGATGGAGCTCTACGAGACTACAGTAGATGACGTTCGAATCGTACGAGACATGTTCAATGGTCACCCACGAAAAGGAAGTCAGGGAGTTCGGGTTTTGATAAAGGACTGGAATGGACAACCTGGGCGGAGTGGAAACTCCATATGAAGGCCCTTCGACTGTCTTCTTTACTGCTGAATACTTGTCTGATTCTAAGTGAGTTCCACGAAGAAGTTACGCCCAAATTCCATAACATTTGAATGTATCTTTCTCATCTGGGGCTGGTCTGGCGGATAGACTAGGCGCAAATCAGGGGTATAAGCGGCGCCCAGCCTCAATGTAAAGATTATATATCATCGGCTTTTCGATCTCAAAGGTAAAGCGCGAGGTGGTTCTACACGACAGTGATCAAAAGGGATGTGAATAATGTCTGTCCTTGAATTACACCTCATATATCTTTTACCCTCCTGTAATCGGTCTACATTTCCAGTGTTCGAAAGGCAGCCGCGCTCTGGCCAGGGCTGTAGTCAGGCCTTCAACCCCTTACTTTGCATTCTCCGCCCCTCGACAGTTGGTACTAGAATACTCCGTAATCGGTGGATTTTAGGATGTGGAGACAGAATATGAAATCGAGCAGGGGACAAAAAAGAAAATATCAGGGGCGCAGAACCGTCAAGCCTGAAGATTCTCAGCTAGGCCCTAAGATGGACTTAATTCCCCGAACTTCGATGTGGCCTGGGCTTAACGTGAACTGCGATTTTCCAAATCGGAGTTATCTACTCCGTGTTCGGTATTCCTTTGTGGTAGTCTATGTCTGAATGATAATGTTTAAGTCAGACATTTGGCCCAGTGGCGTCAAGCTCGCCTCTAATGCCTACAACGCAGGTACTGGAGGTTAATATCTTTGACCAACCGGCTAGCTCTAGGCACCGTAAGCGGAATGGCCTGTATGTTTGACTGTATTATTCTCTATTTAACCTCAAAAGCGGGTCATCGCCATTTCCTCTGAGCTCTTCGACTCGGGCCAAAGGATCGTTGAAGCTGTCTCGATCTCTTGGCCATTCTGCGTAACAGGGAGCTCATGTTTCAGATGCAGCGCTATGTGAGACAATGTTCACCTTCACTGTATCACAACAGATCTACCCCCTCATACATTGCTCCCATTTGAGCATGGTGTAACATTTTCCATGAATCCTGACGCACCTCGTACCAGGACTCTGGGGCTCCAGCCTTCAGTTCATGGACGCTATAAAAATACTCTTAAATTTCTGTCTGCATGTCCGCATGTCTATACACATGTTGTGAGAGGGCCAAGTTGCTATAGCCTGACAACTTGTCACACCCGAGAATTGGGCGTGGAAAAACTGGGACTATCCAACGAATCACGATATAGCGTCATGTTCAAGAATGTTGTGGATCAAGTCCCAAGGGAGAGGTATACAAGCGCAGTGATACCAATTCTCGCGCTTTCCTAGCCTTTTTCCTAGGCTCTAATTTCGAATAGAACTATCTTTCCTCGAGTCTGACGTCTGTTTAGATGTGCTGATGGGGATGATTCAAACCAATTGATAGGTTCCTGTAATGCGTCCAAATTGAGTGGAGCAAGAACGAAGTACATATTTGCCCTTGGTAGCTTCCCATCAAGGGTCTATCTCTGCAGTTATCGGCCACCATAGTGTATATTGTTTCTTGTTTCTCTTTTTTTTGGTTTTTACAATGCATCCAACCCACAATTATCGGCACTCTCGACGGTCTGCTTGTGATCGTTGTCGCGGGCAAAAGTTGCGATGCGAGCGTGATCATATGAATGGCATGTCTTGTGAGCGATGCCTTAAAGCTCAAGAAATATGCATCACAAGTATGAACCAGCCTGCACCGGTCATATTACCCTCAAACCATAGTCAGAATCTACTTGCCCGACAAGACCGTGAGAGCCAAAGATTCAATGAACGGCATGAATCAATGTCTGTGCTTCACAAATCGTCCGGCCCCAGAGTGAAGAAGTTATTGCACTCCCCCTCTCCAATTCCAGCGAGATACAATATGAATGAGCACCCCTACTGGGGAGGAGCGGCGTCAATGCCGGCATTTCCTGGAAGCAGCATTCATTCATCCTCGGCGGACCCTGGGTTTAATATGCCCCTAGACTTTGGAAACATAATGGCTCCTGTTGAGCAATGGGGTGATCCTCATTCGAATTGGTCAACCAATGCTTATAACCTAGTAAGTTGGAACACAAGCAGTACGACAGCCATATACTGACTTATTAATCGCTGTAGCCTTCTGAGTGGATGCCTTCAGATCAAATATATCCCTGCGACGCAAATTCTTGTTTTCCCTCTATTTTCACCAGTGATGCTCCACCAGGCGCCAGGCAAGCCACTGAAATGGCAATTTCCGTGCCTTTTCAAACTCAGCGTCTCAACTATGGCGAGAACGAATCGCTCTTTGCAATAAAGGACTTTCCAGATCCTGCGTGGGTGAATCACCCTGACCTTGGAACTATAAGCAAGCCCACCCCAATGGCAACAGGCCAAGAAACTCTTTCCTCTACTCAAGACATTCGCAAGAGTCTCTTGAGATTGAAGGTGGGACTTCTTGAGGATTTGGAGCTATTTGAGACCGGATCGATGCTTCTAGAATCTTCGTCCATTTTCTATGAAAATTCTAATTTGTCAATTGAAACACTGGACCTTCCGATATATCGTCTGCTTGATCACTCCTCTTGGCTTTTGGCAATTGTTCGATCTTCATGTGGTACGACCGAAGAGACCTTGGATGTTATATTTGCTACACAACAATTTGAATCGGAGAGCAGAGGATATGAAGACTCTTTGTTTATCCTCTCGGACGCTGGTGGCAATGGCTTGGATGAAGATGCCACTACAGTATCCACACATGATTCTGGGTATCATACGACGAGAACATCACCGGATCGAACGACAACACCTAAAATCCCGAAATGCGATATAGGACTGTGGCTTGGCATATTGGAGGCACATTGCTCACTTGTCCGCATATATCGTGCTGTTTTCATGCGGTTGTACCAACTGTTTCTCATCATTCCTCCAGCTGATGCGGCCACCATTATGTTGTTGCCAAAGGTACGGTTCGGGCAGTTTCATTTGGAGGGAAATCTCATTGCTCAAGTTCAATTATTGGTTGAGTTCAGCTCTACAATGTTGGATAAGCTTGACCGAGCCCTTAAATTGAGGTCAGGCTCAGCTCAATTACAAGAGGATGGAGAGTTCGATTCATCCAAGACAGTTCGCCAGAAAGATTGGTCAACCTCAATTCGCGACATTGTCCTAGCACAAGAACAGGATCCTCGTGAAATGTCTTTGATGGAAATAATGGAGTGCTTGCGGCAACTTGTTAAAGATCCAGTGATTATTTATGAGTATGGTATTTCATGAAGCTGGACGATATTTAAAAAGATCTACTTGCTCCTTAGTTGCGTTTGCTTTTAGGATCTGGCAGGGTAGGGTAATCAAAATTGTTAACCAATGAGAAAGAACAATAGGAACGCATCTATAGATGAGATAAAGGAACGTTCAGACAGAGTTGAAGAATGTATCCCCACACTCACGTTCATCATAAACCGGGAGAACAAAGGGTGATGTAGGATTACTACCTGAGTGAGCAACCTGGCATATTCATTGGGAATGGAAACCACGCTGCGTTCAACTGTTTTCAATGCGAGACCATGGTATTGACGGGCGGCCGCAGTCTTTTTGCAATGGTCTGTGCATGAATGAATGAATAGCTGGGCTCGACATTCCCTGCATGTTCGGACACCGAGTCCGAGTCCGATCTTGATTTAGAATCCATATGGCGATTCCTGGAGGATGGAGTAGAGGAGATTCAACCCCACCCTTAAAAGGAACAAACCGCCTCATTACCATAGAGAGACAAGTTTGGAAGAAGTCTTGTTAACTCGGGTGCCAAATCTGATTCCCTAAGGATGGCTATACCTGATTTCAAAGATGTTCCTGATCTTACCGGAACTTGGGTATTGGTAAGCTTTCTCCATTTGATTACTTACATGTGTACCTAACGCATGGGCTAATATGATGATTAGAACCGAAAGCTGTCAACCGATCCAGATGACGTTTTCGTCTTGGTAAGAGGGATAGTGAATCGAGATGCTGGCTTTGATTTGCTAATAAAGAATAGCAAGGCGTACCTTGGGTTGTCCGAAAGGTCTTGCGACACGCCCGGCTTTCATTGCAAATCCACCAGACCACTTCCCTATCCGCCAAAAATAGCACATGCATCGAGGGAAACTCCAATGAAAGTTCTGATTTGGCCGACAATTCGAAACCAGTCACAACTATTCGTGTGACACAAACAGTCAACCCAGGCGGCTTTGACAGCGAAGGAAGTTATTTGGTCGATGGAAGGCAGCAAGACGTTTCGCTGCCTATCTTCGGAGATATTCAGATGCACCTCAAATTTGCCGACAGATCTGATATACTGGAAGATTCCATACGTCAAATTCTGGAGGTGGCTAGTTTGAGCGACAAGGTCATTCAAGAATTTGCCCAGAATACGTCAAAGGGGTGGGAAGCGGAAGTGATTTGGGGATTTGAAGAGCTCGACGGAAAGAGACGTTTAACGCGAAACATTAGCACGACCAAGGAGGAGAAGAAGGTCATTGCTAAAATGGTTTACGATGGTCCAAATTAGATCCCACCTACTGTCTATGTTGATAATCCCGTATTTCCAACGCAAATCGAATCTTTAAAAGCACCACATAGAAATCCTGGAATTACTTGTATAACCTTTTTTCTATTCGAGTTAGCAGATAATAGCGAGCTCTCCACGTCTAAAGCCCATCACACTAGCAAGCCACCATAACTAAAAAGAACAGCCAGGAAATAAATACCTGATATGTAAATCAGTTCAAAGCTAGACTACGACGACGACCCAGGGGCGAACAGCCTCGTATGTACAAGGCGATGTGGGATTCTACCAGTCCATCAAAACTTATATTTTTCAAATAGTTGCCCATTGAGCTATTCTTCTTTCAGGCCTCTAACTTAATACAGGCTTTCATTTCGTGGTCATAGGGACGACAAGCTTCTTCCCCGAAACCCTTCTATTTCGCAGCATGTCCAAACCTTCCAAGATCCCTTCAAATTTGCCTGGAATGATTTGAGTTTGACAAGGTTTAAGCTTCCCATTGTTTATCAATTGTTGGAGTTCTAGGTACCATGACCGAGCCCAGACTCCAATCTCGGATCGTGGCGCAATGCCGTATGGGTCTGGGAGCTCGACACCTCGTCCCGAGATGGCACCTCCCATGACTAGTTCGTGCTTGATTGTCTTTCGCGAGCAAAGACTCTCTTGATATTGCTCAAGTGCACAGTACCTTCCTCCAGTACGACCAATGGCTGCATAGCACAATCGCAGAGTCTTGGCTTCCGCAAAGGGGTCAAGCACATATCGCAAGGTGTTCTTTGTGGCCGCTCGAATCTCTTCGCCACAAGTTGGTGAGTTGTAATCAAAGACAAGATCTGCCCCGTATGATGTAACCAAGTCGCGGTTATGAGGGGAGCATGTGGTGATTACGCGGTGGCCACAGCTAAGCAAGATGGATCAGTGACTTGAATATACCGAAAGCCATAGGAAGGAACTGGACTACTTACAGCTTCACCATCTGGATTGCAAGTAGTCCTACAGTGCTACTTCCACCGTATACCAGAACATCCTCGGATTTGGATGCTGGTGTGTGCAATGTTCCGGGCAATTGAAGTGACCAAAAAAGAGCAACCCCAAGAGTCGCAATTGCGGTCCCTGAGAGGGAGGGTGCATTGACAAGATCCATTCCTTTAGGAACATGGAAAGTAAGATCCGGTTCGGTTCGAATGTACTCGCAGTAGGCTCCAGACATTGGATCTGACATATTTGAGCCCTGAACGGCACCAAAAGCCTGATCTCCAAGGCGGAATCGCCCCTGTGCAGCAACTTCGCTTCCTAGCGCAACCACTGTTCCTGAAAAGTCACACCCATCCCAGAGACCTGGGGTCGGGAACCTCAGTGGCATTTTATAATCACAGGGGTTGAGGGCCACGGCAGCAGTCTTCACCAACATTTGGTGGGGGCCGAGTTCTGGGATAGGTAGACCATGGGTGATTTGAAGAATGCCGCCTTCATGTTGAATGATGCCGGTCTGATTTGGGGGTAATTCACCTTGGGATGCCATCTTGTGGTTGCAAAAAGAAAGCTGGTAGATTTAAACAGCCTGTGAATTTGGGAAACTCATTTATATAAAGTCCAATGCATCTCGCCGTAGCACACAGACAAAAACAATAATGATCAAAAGAAAACAACAGAAAAACCTTTTTTAACGGAAACAGTGCCTTTTCTGGGCATGCAATGGTGGGTTTAAAATCAGCGATTTTGGTCAGAGTCGCAATCCCTGCCTTTCTAAACGTATACATTGGAACGGTAACTGGTCCTTAGGGTCTCCACGAGACCGTAGACTTTACTATTTGTTGAGAATCCTAGTTGATTCTCAGTAGTGAACATGATAGTTGGGGTTATTTCACCGCTAGCCAAGAACGGTAACACCTAACAGATGCAAGATTAGCTCTGCCGATTCAATTTGACATCGCTTACACGTTTCTCTGCATACAATGTGCCTTGCGTTGTATTGCAGGAATGCAGTTTAATTCAGGCTGCATTCACTAACTGTCAACGGATGGATTTTTATGTTGTGATTGTATCTGTTTCCATTACAGTTGGGAGAGTGAGGGTGGGAACTACATGGGTTGAAATGAAGCCCATAAATGTAGGTCCATGTTCTAGTTCCATCTGCACTATTACAACACCGTTCATATATATAGAGGTAGGTATCGAAGAGGGGGAAAATTGCTGTCAGGATTCCTTCGAATATACACTATCACCTTGCATTAATATGCTGAACCAACTAGTTACACAGGGGCCGTGGCGTAAAGGGAAGATGTTGACTCTTGATTTATAGAAAAATAAAAAATGGGGTGATATAATTTGTTCCCTGTACCGCTGAAATCTACCATAAATCCGACCTGATCATTGACATTACAAGATAAAACAACAAGTTCGCCCAATTCAAAAGGATGGGCATCATCAGAGCCTAGGAGAGCAATGGTACTGGGCTTACTCGGTGGGTTAGATCAAAATATATTTCATTCAACTGTCTGACGCTGACTGCATAGCCAGGTATTGATTGTGAGATGTAGGGGAGAGAAAAGAAAAGAAAAAGATGACGAACACTCTTCAAGGGGCTTTTAATTTCTAGCTCCTGGTCACTCAAGAGTGTATAGTACTCTATTTAGTTGATTAATTACTATGCACGGATGTTAAACTTGATATATGAACATCAAATCAAGTGCGCTTTCTTTTTTTTTCTTTTTCACAAAGGAGGCAGATCTACATAGACAATGCTAAGCAGCATTAATATTACTTTTTGCCCTGAAATTTAAGCTGCATATATCATTCAGCAGTACCTATTCCGCTGCAATAACCATCGGAGAATACTGGGATATGAAACTGTAGAGCCAGGAAATGTATTCGACTAATGACAGACATTTCGACAAGAGTAACTCAAAAAGCCCCAGTTGCGTATGACTGTTGATAAGGAGAACGAACAATGATTTCGCTCAACAACAATGTCAAAAATATTGTCGAAATATGTTTCTTTTCATTCTAATAACACGGTGGCACATATTGGTAGCAGGCATTGAACTATTTGCGTGCCGTAATTGATGGCAACTGATTCGTTCTATAATTTTGTAACTATTCCCGTACACTCTGATCCATCCTTATTCATCCTCAGAAAATCAAGTACTTTTAATCAACCTGGGGAGGAGGACTTGCCCATCCGAGGCCCTGCGCAAGTATTCTCCCAACAACACACTCATTCCTGCTTGTTCGGCAGCATTCACCCACTCATCGAGGGAAACGATCTGAAACTGTTGACCCGTGCCCGATTCCATCAAGGGCATAATCTCATCACGCCCAATCTTCATCTCACCAGACTCATAAAGATAAGTCACAGCTAGTTCGGTGACACCGGAATGGTGAACGGCTTGAAGGAGTTGGCTTGCGGCCGACTGTACGGAAATGAGGTCGAAGACCCCCGACCATAAGCTCGAGTCTGGCACTTTCTGGGTTTCTTTGGTAAACCGCATGACATTACTCATAAGATCAAGTTCCGGCGCATCGGTGCCGGTGATGCTAGATGGGCGGTGTATCCATACGGGCAGACCAAATTGGCGGTTGACGTGCTCGAGGTAGACTTCGCTCACCCACTTGGCAGCGATGTACCCATCTGTTGGTCGAGATGGAGGAGGATATGACGATACAGATATCTCCCCGAAGGTTTCTTGGGCAGCAAGTCTTGCAACACCAGCCGACGAGACGAAATGGAATGGAATACGCCGAGGCAATGCAAGTTTGACGAGTTCCTTCGTCGACGCCACATTGATCAGCTTGAGAGTCTGATATGTTTTCATGAACGACACATCCGCGCCATTGTGAATAACGATATCTGCACAGGAGAATATCGATTTGGTCTCGGTTTCAGATAGTCCTAGTTGAGGAGCCCCCAGATCACCATAATGCAAATGAACTTTCGGATGGGAAAATAGTTCAGGTAAACCCGAGGATCGTTTTCTGACAGCAAGACAATGGACGGACCAGACCTTTCCATCTTCTATGAGTCCTCGGAGTATTTCTTTGCCAAGGAAACCTGTTGCCCCGGTAAGCACCACATTCTTGACCCCCGATGGGATAATGTGAGTGCCACCGTAAGTCAGAGATGAAGTGAGGTCAGATGTAACTTCAACTTCTGTATCCCAATTCACGTCTAGATCGAGTGAGGGGCGAGATATGTCTTGAATTCTGGCCGCCATTTCACGTAGACTGCTGGCTTCGAAAAGTTGATACAATGCCATAGACGCACCGAGGTTCTCCTTGATTAGAGCTTGCAGGTTCACAAGGGCGAGGGAACTTCCACCAACGTGGAAAAAGTCAGATTGGGAATCAATTGAGTGAAAGCTACTAAGTTCCCGCGGTAGTACTTGTTGCCAGAGCTGACGCAATGACTGTTCAAATGCCGTGAGAGTGCTGTCGTCCGGCAGCTGGGATGAAATCAACGGAATGGGAAGTGCGCCGACCGCGACACGATCAGTCTTGCCTGAGTTATTTTGAGGAACATTCTCAACTGGGATTATAGCAGCAGGTCGCAAATGACGCGGCAGTGGTAGCTCTTGGGAAAGGCGCGCGAGATATTGATGCGCATTTTCAGAATCGTGTGTGGTAGCCATTATGACAAAGGCAACAAGAAATTGATCGCCCCCAGACTGAGTTGCATCTGAACGAACGGATACCACAGCTTGTGCGATAGTTCCAGCTGAAGAACTGACGATCGCCGTCTCTATTTCTTCAATATTGATGCGAATTCCCCTCAATTTGATTTGGTTATCCCCGTCCATGCGCCCGAGGAGAATAAGACCACCATCGCGATTGAGCTTTCCGCGATCTCCAGTGTGATGGATTCTTGTCCAGTTCTTCTCCTGGAAAAACTTACTCGCGTACTGATCATTTGAAAATCGCTCAGTTGTCTTGGTGCCGTCAAGATAGCCCTGGGCAACCCCTGCGCCACCAACAACCACTTCACCAGGAACTCCGATGGGAACAGGCTTCATGGTTTCGTCGACAATGTAAACAGAGTAGTTTGGTAGTGTATAAAGAGCTTGCGCGAGGCATGTTGATGTAGAATCCAGCAGGTTGTACGGAACTTCACTGCCCGAGCATGCAGCGCTGATCTCCGCCGGCCCATAAGCATTTATCAGTTTGAGGTCCGACCGATGAAGATTCTTGATCTCTTTGATCAGGCCACTTGACATGAATTCACCACCACATATCACGGTCGACAAGCGAGAGTTACTCAGGTGGGAGCGACCATGACGAATCCAAGCGAGATATTCTGTGGGCGTCGCAAGGGTGCATGTCACATTCTCGGATACGATGAGTCGTGTGAGAGCAACGGGATCACCTCGTGTGAGATCAGATGCAATTGCAAGGGTCCCGCCAGAGCATAGGGAGACCATGATCTGCCACAAAGACGCATCCCACGCATATGATGATTGATGCAGGATGGTCTCGTTTCCCTGCTTCAGTTTCCAGACGGCCGTGGATGACTGAATATGGTGAACATATGCTGAATGGGCAATCATGATTCCCTTTGGGACACCAGTTGATCCACTAGTATACATGATCACCGCAGTCTGGCTTGAGACAGCCATGTTTCGGACGGCGATTGCAGTAGAGCTGTTTAGGCTACCTACGTCAATCGGTTTTGCCGTGGTGTGCAAAAGGGCATAGTCGGACATGGAGTTTGTATCAACCAACACCATCGGTGCTTGTGTTTCGTTCATGATCCTCGCGAGTCTGTTCATCCCCACCTTTTTATCCAATGGAATGTAAGCACCACCGACACGCAAGATGGCCATGAGAGAACATATCCAGTCTGCACTGGGGGATTGGAAAACCCCAACACGGGTCCCTGCGCCAACTCCGTTGCGAAGGAGTTCGTTTGCGATAACATCGATCCGACGCTGGACTTCACTATAAGTCAAGGAGCTCCCATCATGGGTCTTCAATGCGATACGGTCCGGATAGCGCAAGGCAACCTCGTCGAGGCGGTGGACAATAGTCATAGACCATTTGTCTCGGAGCTCCGGTCCTAATTTAGGGTTTTAGCGAAAGATCTACATTTATGGGGAATTGACTTGCCTCGGCCCGCAGCCACTGCCTTCTGGAGGTCATCTTTGGAATGCAATCCCGGCCAGGTCACACGAGTCGCTGGATTTTGAAGAAAAGACCGGAGAAGATTGACATAGGAGCTGAGCAGAATTTCCGCATGCTCCATTCCATACAAGCCCATCTGGGCAGACAGGTGAATTAGCGTCTCGCCGGCACCGACGTTGCCAACATCCAGACCGAGATCAAAAGAGGTTTCGCCGCCGCCCAAAAGTGCGCCATCGGCTACACAACCGCAGAAGCTTCGTGATTGCTCGACTTTGGGTCGATAGTTGAAGAGTGTTTGGCATAGGGGATTGTGTGATGCGGATCGGGGAACGTTGAGCTCTGTCAAGATCACATCAAATGGCACACGCGAATGGGCAAATGCACGCTGCGTGATGTTCCGGACCTCCTTGAGAGATTCCCCAAAGGATTGGCCTGGCTGTTGAGAGAATTTCACAGGAAGGAGGTTCAAGAAAAGCCCCATACTCCGCAGGATGTCGGCATCCGTACGGTTCCCATCTCCGACGCCGATGCAAATCTCCTTCGTATCAAAGAAGCGCAGAAGAAGGGTCTTCCAAACTGCCAGATGGAAATGGAAGGGTGTTGATTTGAACATCCGGCAACATCGGTCAATGGAATCCGACAAACTGACATCGAGACGAATCTGGGCAGTATGAGACCCAAATTGAGCAACTTTGGGGCGCATGGGTTGTAGGGCAAAAGGAAGAAGGGGAAGTGCGGGTGGAATCTGTGTATATTGTGCTCGCCAGTAAGCGAGATCCCCAGCCCAGGCGCCCTTTTCGTATTCAAGAAGCTGCCGCATAGTAAAGTCTGGATATTGAAGTCCATCCTCGGAAAGGGCTTGGCCTTCATATGCTTTTTCCACGTCTGCCCAAAATACCTCGAAGCTAATGCCATCCATGTTGATGTGATGGAAGCCGAAGATTATCCAGTGCTTATCTTGGTTGAGCGAAAGCAGCCGAACACGCATGAGCTCGCCATCAGAAAGATTGAACACGTGTGCCTTCATCTGTTTTGAGGCCTCTGCGACTTCGGTCTTGTCCAAGATTGCAACATGCTCCAACTGCAAGGAAGACTTCGTCCAAACGCCTTGCATATGATTCCGCTCTTCGTCAGTGAAGAAGAAAGTACGCAAGGCTTCGTGATGTTGTCCCGCAGTTTGTACAGCATTCGCAAATTGCTCAATTCTTAGGCGACCAGATAATTCAAACGTGGGTGTAATGTTGAATGCGGTCTTGTCCTCGACCAGATGCTCTAGAAACCAGAAACGCGACTGCCCGTAGGACATTGGTATAGTTCTTTGGATTTCACGTTTTGGGAGCCTCATCTCGCTGTCGTCAGTAAAAACGGATGAGGAGGTGTCGCCGTCCTTTTCGGAATTCGAGTCCCCAGTGATCAAAGATGTCGCGGAGCTGCCACTGTACGCGTTTGTTGCGTCCGGAAGTGCAATCTTCAATTCCACGGAGCTGGCTCTAGTCTCTGCAACTATTATATCCACGGGCAAATCTGCGGGTGAAGCTGTTGCAGCCACCAAAGGATTGGGTTGGTACGCCGGTGGCTTTACAGCCTGTTCGCCAGGGATCAAATTTGGAATCAAAGATTCTGGCAGAACCTCTGCAGCAGTGGCCAAAAGCTCACGAATGGACGCCACGTTGAAGATTTTCAGCACCGGCATATCAACCCCCAACTCCTTGAGGAACCATGATCGAAGGTCAACAGCGACCAATGAATCCACACCAAGCTCATCTGGACTCATGTCCAACATAGGCTTGCTGGGATCAGCCTGAAGGGCTGACTGGAGCTTCAACACAAAGCCATCTAAAGACAATATTTAGTTTCAGCTGGGTATAGGATCTGCGATATCCGTACCTTGCAAGATCTCGATAACTTCGTGATTCGAAGTTGCCTCGAACAAGCGTGTTTTTATCAACACGCCAGATTTTCCTTTCTTGTCTGCCACCACGAGATTGCTATACTTGTGGACCAGATGTTGGAAGATTGGGTTAGAAATCCAACTCTTTGACTCGTCATCGTCAATTCTGAGTCCACAGCATAGCTCAGCGCTTCCTGTACGCTCCCTGCAGGACAGTACACCTTCGGCAAACACCTCATGGAAGTCTTGCTCAGACATCCAAGAATGGCCGACTCGGTAAAGATATGACTGTTGGCCCATGTTAAGCTCTCGCGTCACATAGCCGTTACCGACAATCGCGCCGATGTTAATCGCATGTGCTGCCAGGCCGCGGTTTCGGCGCTGGGCTGCCAGACTCGCCATAAACATATTCGCAGCATTATAGGCAACCTGGCCGGGGTTTCCTGTCATAGCAGCCATTGATGAAAAGAAAACCATGAATTCCAAGGTGTCCTCTGGGAACAGTTCATTCAGTATTATACTACCTTCAACTTTAGGGCGGAGAACCTTCTCAAGGCGAGGAAGATCTAAATCAATGAACATTGTGTCCTGGAGCACCATGGCACCTTGCGCAACACCAGCTATGGGAGGCATGGTTTCGCTGATGTTCTGATGGGTCGCTTGAACGGATTCCCGATTCGTTATGTCGCTACATGTGTTAGTATGAGTGACTGAGACGAGATCGAGAGCTTACTTCGAAAAGACTCGGACAGTGCAGCCATTCGCAGCCATTCTCTGCAGCCATTGGTCATTAATATTTGGATTTCGACTTGATAGCGCAATGTATCGTGCCCCCTGTCCGATCATCCACTGACAAAGCGACAAACCGAGCCCGCCTGTCAGTCCAACTAGCCAGTAGGTTTTGTCTTTTGAGAATTTGACCTGTTTGGTAGCAGGGCGAACCTGGACAGCAAGCTTCGATTGACCCCATGAAATTAAAGACTGTTCCGCAAGCGGCGATTGTGCACGAATCAGGTCCTCGAGCCCTATAGGAACAAACTTGTGCATATTGAATGGTATCAGGTCGTATTGTGCTCTCCCCCAGGAAATCTGCAGCTGCATAGCCAATTGGCCTCTCTCTGAGGTGTACTGGGATTGGGAGCAGTTGGCAGTTAGAGTGCCCTCGCTCTCGAAATTACAGTCTGTCGGCAAGCATGTCTTCAGGAGAGTAGTCACATCGGAGCTACCACTCAGGTTCACAAGGCGGGAAATATTGCTAGGTAACTTGCTCAGTACTTCACGCCGGGTGGAGTTTGGGTGGATTTGGATCCATGGCCACGAGCAATGTCCTTCCTTTGTTGTCAAAAGCACAAGTTGAACATTCTTTTCGCTTGCGTATTTCGTAAGGACGGGTGACAGGGAGAAGTCAGGGTCTAACACAGCCAATGTCGTCCCCGATCGAAGGTGTTGAAGCATAGAGAGGGCAAGGAAATGGAAATAGAGGGTGAGCATCGATCGAATTCCTAGCTCTTCGGAATCTACACATCGCACCGCGAGGCCATGCGGCACACGGACTTGAGAGTCCAGAGTATGTGACAGCGCGATCACACGCTCACCATTCCAGGTATTTCTCCCAACTACCAAGAAATAATTGCCCGATGGAGTGATACGGACGGCGCGGAGCAAAGAGTGAGTCACATCGATATCCACATCATCCGGGAAAGAGGGCGAGGCTCGAAAGTCCTTTTCTTCAATTTGATATCCAATTTCAGTTGGTTGGATGGTGACCACAGACCCGGTACGCTCAACCTCTTTAATGATGAGACGCCTTGAGGAATTGTATCGATCATTTCGGCCAGAGTTGAGGCGGAATCGAGGAACTTTGAAGTGACCATCTTTTAGTAGTAACTCCCTCTCGTTGGACCACAATATCCCATCGAGCTGGCTACTTTGATCCCAAATCTCGGCAGCTTCCAAATGGAGGAGCTTTGTTGCGATAATCTTGGCATCGGCGTCATGAAGCGAATGGAGGTTGAGGAAATGGATATGGAGGTGAGTCATCTCCATGGCCAGTGTGCGTTGAACTCCTGCGAACATGTTGGCATAGGGGTTCTCCCCTTGGGCACCGTGTCCCAGCCATAGAACATTCTTGCTTTGTTTGAAGAGCTCTTGGAATGACTTCAGGTTCCCAGGAGACATGTGTTTTAGAACTGGCCCATCCAATTCAATCAAACTAATCACTGACCCCATTACCGGTAGGTTTGCTGAGATAAGGTCACCTAAAGAACTGGCTGTGTAGATGTTGCTGTAGTGGGGACGGACCACGGTTTTGATATCGACTACCATATCAGCAGTCAAGGATGATTTCCCTCCGATGATTGTCAACGAGTCCACACCCAGTGGTAGATGGTTCGCCGCTAGGGGATCACGAAGGAAATTGACACGGTGATCGACAGCTTGAGTAACCATGACAGAGAATGGCAGAGGCGAGGTTCTGGAAGACGACAACAGGGCTTCGAAACCAGAAAATCCAGCCTTTTGCATCAGTCCTTCCCATTTGTCCTCCGATATACAGGGGGATAGTGTTCTTCCCTCTTCGTAGCCTAGCCACCAACCTGGTAGGCCACCAAGGATGAGCCCGAAGCGCATGACATCTGAGTCCGTCAGTTCGAGCATAACCAGGTACCCACCAGGCTTCAGTAGCCGACGAACATTTGTCAGGGTTACTTCAAGCTTTCTGGTGGCGTACAGGGCCAGAGGAGCAATGACAATATCAAAACAACCCTGTTCATAGTCTTGTTCTCCGATGTCCTTCTCGATGTCCAACACCTTGAACGCCATTCTGGATTGATAATCGGAGAATCTTTCACGTGCGTCATCAAACTGCGAGTCCAAAATATCGGTGTATGTGTATGACGCAAACGAGGAGCTCATTGCACGGATGACTCGATCTGAGGTAGCGCCCGTACCGGCTCCTATGATATATCAGTATTGAATACAGTTTTGAAAATGTGCATGGACTAACCAATCTCCAAAACGTTAACATGGGGGTATCTATGGCTGATCTGGCGAGCTTTTTCAGCAATAGCGTCCAAGTATGCATCTATCCCAAGTGTTTCGGCGTAGAATTCCGCTAACATATTGTCATGCATCAGGATTTCAAGTAAATTCATATCTCCGCGAATGACAGCAGAAAGGTTTTCGCCAACTGCAGACAGCACTTTGATGTCGATACTGTCGGGATGGCTATGTAGATGAGTCAGTGCGGTTCAATCTTGGTTTGCCAGATCAACAAGAGAGTTCAGGTTCTCACCGATCTAGAATTGGAGCAACATGCTCCATGGTGTCATTTGCCCATTCCGGCTTTGCGAATTTATGTTTTCCATTCGCAACGGATGTTGTACAATGCTCCGCATATGAGAGAAGATGTGTATGGTTCCAAGTAGCATTTGCACGATCGGAGTGCTGAAGCGAATTCTCGAGTTTCTTGAAGTAGAAATGGGCGACGCGTTCGAGATCCATGCCTAGGGAACGGTCTTGGGGAAGCATGTCTTCAGCTTTCTTTGGTTGCCATCCGGTGGGCCTATCAACATCCCAGATCACTTCCGTGAAGAAGGGAACATCGTTTGTGGATGTCAACGGACTCAGCGGTGTGGTATGAAGACCTTCAAGTTGAACCAAAATATGTCTCCCGTCTGCGGAAAATATATCAACATCACCAGAGAGTTCGGCGAAGCGGGCATCTGTGACTGCAGAATAGAAGGACAGATCTGCACCGGGGGCACCAAGAGCGACGCAGGCGGTCGGATTGAGGCGAAGCCTGTCGATTCGAGTGGGAAGGTAAAGGGTGCGTAGACGTCCATCTCCTGGGAAAGAATAAGCAAGCATGATGGACTGAATGGCCCCATCAAGAGATGCTGGGTGAATGATCAACGGTCTTTCGGTTTCGGAATCCACTGGGACAGCAATTAAACCTGATGCCTCGTCCATTTTTCTGCGCAAGGAGGAAAGGGCCTGGAAGGGGCCGGTGTAGCCAAACCCAAGTTCGGAAACTGAGTTGTAGAATCGGTCGGCTTCCAGATCCAGGAATGAAGCTTGCGGTTGGGCGTGTGGTGGAAGGATATCATGATTGGGGTCGCCCAAAATAATTTTCAGAGTGGCAGATGCATGAAGAGACATGGTGGATGACCCCTTATTGGCGTCGGAATGACAAGCAAAGGACGCAGACATGGAATTACCCTGAACTTGATCGATCGAAAGTCTGAAAATTGTTTCGACTCCCCCGTTCTCGTCAAGGACCAATGCTTGTCCAATGACGACATCATGGAAGTCGATCAGTTGCACTGAACCCAGGCCATACTTTTGAATTACAGACTCAACCGCCGCCGATATATACCCAGCTGCAGGGAATACCATTTGACCTTGGACTTGGTGATGTGCCAGCCAAGGAACCTCCCTAGGATGAAGGTAGTTGCGCCAGCGTAGCTGATTTTCTGTCCCGTCGGGGCATTTGACACCCAGTAGAGGGTGAAATGGTTCCTTTTCAGTGCGGATTGCGGTAGATGACCGAGATTCGTGCCAATAAACCCGGTCATGATCCCACGAATACGATGGAAGTCCCTTGATGAGTTTTGGAGTTGTTCGACTGTTTTGCTTTTGCATTGCCTTCATTTCAAATCCTGCGAAGTCCACGACACTCTCGCCCAAGGCAATCCACAGGGCACCCAGTGCGGATGAGAAAGCGTCGCTATCATTTCTGCCACGGTTCAAGGTCCCGGTGTAAGGCAATGTCTGGCCAGACACTTCTTGGATTGTTTGCATCGCAGGTCCTTTCAATGCTGGATGAGGACCGATCTCCAAAGCCAAGTCGAATGGGCCAGCTGCACCAACTGCATAAGTGACGGCCTGGGAGAATAGTACGGGCTTGACCATGTTGTTGCTCCAGTACATGTCGGCAAGGTTGTCATCGACATTGTCAATATTCTCGCCATACACACTGGAGATCCAGGTAGCACTGCCACTCGGTGGACACTGAATGGTTACACCACACCTGTGGATCGCTGCGATATAAGGAGCTGCGCAGGAAAGCATGTGATGTGAGTGATAAGCTTGGTCCACTTTCAACAAGCGAGCAAATTTATTTTCGTCTTCAAGGATTTCCCTGGCCTCGTCGATCGCATCAGCGTCCCCGGAAAGAGTGACGCTGGCGGATGAGTTGCTAGCTGCTACGCAAACTCTGTTCTCGAGTGAAGGCATCTCGCAGAGCTCCTTTGCATCTTCAAATGATGTTCCCGCGGCCATCATTGCCCCTTTCTTTCCTCCCTGGGCGGTCGCGTATTGTAGAGACCATCCGCGGTAATAGGCAATGCGGATAGCATCCTCTTCGTTGAGATATCCCGCGGCATACGCTGCGGCAATCTCACCGGACGAATGGCCAACGACAGCAGTAAGTTTCAGATTGGCTACCTGGAGAAGCTGAACCAACGCAATCTGAATCGCAGTACAAAGAGGTTGTGAAAACTCCGCTTCGCCAATACGAGATGAGGACTTGTCTTTAACAAGCTCCTCCTTCAGCGACCAAACAGGGCGATGCTGAGTGGGTAGTTCCTGCAAAGACCGATCGAGGCGGGCGATGCAATCACTGACCATCGGTGAGCTTTCGAGCAATTCAGCACCCATCCTTGCCCACTGTGCTCCTTGGCCTGTGAACACTCCAAGGAGTTTTGGTTCGCGGATACTTCCCGTCTGCGTGCTTGGTATTATTGCCGAGGACGCCACTGCCTCATCCAGCCTTGCAGCAAGCTCTCCTGGGCTTGATGCAGACACCGACAGCCGTACTGGCAGAGTGGAACGCCGGCAGTTCAATGTCCATGACAAATTACGCATATTGATATCAGAATGATTTTGCAAATATGCCGAGTATGCTGCAATGTTGGCGAGAAGCGACTTTTCGGAGGAGGCAGAGAAATTGAATGGTGACACTGCTGTGGATATGCCATCTTCAGCGTTGTGACCATAGGCAAGCAGGCGCCCATCGAATTCTTCCAAAATTGCGTGCGCATTTGCACCACCAAAGCCAAAGCTGTTAACACTAGCACGACGAGGGGTGTCTGGAAGTTGGGGCCATTCTTTGGCAACTTGAAGGATTTCAAGGTCGTTATAGAAGGGAAGTACCGTGGAACTCAATTCGGTGAGCAATAGGTTTGGCGGGATGACGGCATGTTGTAAAGCAAGCGACGCTTTAAGGACCGCTGCTAATCCAGCCGTGCCCTCGGTGTGGCCAATCACTGTTTTGATGGACCCAACATACAAGGGATGCTCCTGGGTACCATTGCGCTGATATTTGGCTGCTTTTCCAAAGAATGCAGTGCTGATGGCCTCCGCCTCGACTGGGTCACCTGCTGGAGTTCCTGATTTGGTCAGTAAAGCCTTTTCGCCTTCATTCGATTATGACTCACCGGTACCATGAGCTTCGAAATATTGTGGTCGGTCCGTGGGTTTGGAAAGATCGAGTCCAGCTCGAGCGTACGTAGTCCGAATAAGGTCTGCTTGAGCCATAGGGTTGGGCATCGTAATTCCTTTAGTGCGACCATCTTGATTGGCACCTGTCTCCCGAACGATGCACTCGATGTGATCTCCATTCGCCAATGCTGCACTCAGTGGTTTGAGTATGATGGCAGCAATTCCGTCACCCCGTGCGTATCCATCTGCGCCTTTATCCCACATACGCGAACGCCCCGTCGGGGAGAGCATCTTCAGCTTGCTCTCTGCGATGTATTGTTCCGGTCCCAGCAGAAGGTTGGTTCCTGCTGCCACCGCAACATCAGTCTCGCCGCTTCGAAGGCTCTGTACGGCCTGGTGTAGGGCAATCAGACTAGAAGAACATGCCGTGTCGATGGTCATGGAAGGTCCGCGCCAGTCGAAAAAGTAGGAGACTCGATTGGATAAAATGCTTCGAGCAGTTCCCGATGCAAAGTAAGTTGGAAAATTTTGCACATCCCGACCTAACATATCGGCATAGTCATTGGTCATCAACCCAACATATACACCGGTGTTAGACCCTTGTAGGTTTTCCATGGCAATGCCAGACGTTTCGAGTCCCTCGTAGACAGTCTCGAGCAACAGTCTTTGTTGCGGATCAATCGAGTTTGCTTCCACTGGTTTGGTTCCAAAGAATTGGGCGTCAAACAGTCGATGATCTTCAGACAGCAAATAGGAATGTCGAACATTCGTTGTGCCATGGTGAAGGCCATCGGGGTGGTAGAATGCTTTGGTGCTAAAGCGGCTTTCTGGAATCTCACTAAGAACATCTCGAGGTGCTTTGAGCAAGTCCCATAGCTTCGAGGGTGTTGTTGCATCACCAGGAAAGCGGCAAGCACTTCCCACGATGGCAATCGGTTCCCCGGTGTGGTGAAGATCACCTGTCATTGTGTTGCTCGGGTTTCACTGACTCTGCACAGGCTGGTACGACCAATGTGTGACTTCGCGTATTGTAATGAATGGTCTATAGGGTATCAATCATGGGCAATCGGGACAAGATTTTCTCCGCAACATTCAAACTCCAGTTAGCAGCGACGGGGAGCGGTACATATCAATGTGCCGAGGCTCGCCTTGTTTGTCGGATTAGGACAATTCGGACATCCAATCTCGGATCAGCTTGTCATTGTTTTCAGCTGGTTCCGACGCCGAAGCCTGCCTCCGGGTTTGTGATATGAAGCGAGACAAATCATGATGAAGGTATGTGATCCACCAGCTTTTCGCCACGTGCGCAGAAAATCTTGCTGTATTTTCTCACTTCATGTTACTCTAGAGATGTAGAAATGCTAAGATCCTAGGCTTCCAGGGGTTTCCAGTCCGGCTAGTTTGAAACCCTAAGACCGAGTCCGAGTCCGAAGGTCATTGCCCTGTTGCATTTGCATGTTCGAGATCTCATCGAGAGAACAAACCATCCATGACTTACCAGCATGTGTGCACGCATCGTAAGCTTCTGTTTTGTGGCCGATGGAGTCCACCAAATGGTAGAATTGCGCAAGGAAAGTCCAAAGCGAAGATGTGCCTCAATTATCATATTACTAAAGAGTCGACAGTCGGGAGGTTCAGCACCATTGTTCGACTCCGAGATAAACTACATGTACATACCTAGCCCGGGTTCCAATATCGAACCCCTTTTTCCAGGATCATTGCCACGCTTCAGTTCGCAACCACATTTCCATGTGCCATGAGTCTTGGTCAATTTGAGTCCTAGCCTCGAAATCATTCAAGTTTCAACTGGTAATGTCCGACCATAGCTGCATATTGTAGTTTGAACGGTCAGAACGTGGCAAATCGACGTGGTCTAGACAGTTTGTGTTGTTTGCTTCCCTATCCCTCTCTAGGCAGGAGATGAAAGTCTATCCCACCCTCTTTAGGCAGGAGGTGAAGATATATCCCATCCTCTCTAGGGAATGCGGCGGGGGTAAGGATAGGCAGGAGGTGGAAAAATTGCCCATCCCACCCTGTGTGAGGAATAAGGCTGAGATAAGGATTGGCAGGAGATGAAAATAAACCTTGGAAGGCTGGACTTATTGGGCACAAAGCGCACAGAGAAGGAGGGGAAACAGAAGAGAGAAATATACAAGTAACCAACAATCCTTGCCGAGATGTTGTACGTTTATCCCTCAGGCACCAAGTTTGGCCTGAGGCGTCAAGAGGCGGGTGGCCAGGTCGGAGCAAGACTAAGAGAAGAACGAGATACTCTACTCACTTGCTAATAGTATCGGTCGACTCGCATAAATTGGACCCCAAATAGTGACTAGCCTCAATAGATATACACAAATTCATCATTCTCCCGATCAGTCAGATCCTTAAACGCATTGTCCCCAACTTGCACAGTCTCATGTCCAGCCTCCTCTAGGCTATCCTGCATTTCGTGGTAATCATTTTGCATCGAAAGGTCGACTATTTCAGCTCTCTTGCCATTCTGTACACGTCGACGGGCTTGTTGTTTGTTGAGGAACCATAGATTGACCCACTGAATGAGAACAACAGCGGCCAAGGTGCTGAAAATTCCGAGACATGCGCGCAGGCCTGGGTGGTAGGCCGGCTTGTCCTTCTCATTGAAGAGCAACGGGCCAATGATATTTCCCGCCGAGCTTGCTGCATTGTACAAACTCATGATGACAGACTTCTTCGTGGTTCCTGCCGTGTTGCCGATGATCCAGGTCACAATCAATGGATTACCGCCAAATAAGAATGCGAGTAGATAGTAGCCAGCAAGTAACTGGCTCTGCACAGACTTGGTCCGAGGCACCGCATACAGAATCGCTAGCCCGGCTATCACGGGCAGCATAAAAGCCGCGATGATAGCGCTCTTCAAACGAGCGGTTTGGGCAAGATAACTTGCCAGCAGAATGATGAGGAATTGCAACGCGCCAAATGGCATGGTCAGCAGAGTAGTCCTGTATTTATCATAGCCAAGGCCGCTTAAAATCAGTGGACCAAAGATGTTGGTCACGCTGGCGCCAATGTTGAGGAGCATTGCCATTCCAATCCATAGATATGTTTTGGGCTCCAAGCAGACCTCGAGGACGTGACTGAACTTGAACTCGGTATTTCCAGTTCCAGTCTGGTTGGCTCGAAGGCGCTCTATTCCTTGAGATTTCTCGTTATCACTGAGGAACCGAGCGGTGGATATATCGTTGTCCAAGCGCCAGTAGACGATTGGGGCAGATGCGACAGTTATCAGACCAACCACAAGAAATATGCTAAAGCGAGTCAGTATATAACACTGTCGTTTTTGGGGGGATGGTTTAATTGCCTACATCTGCCATGATTTCAGCACGTCTGACTCTATGTGTGCCAGTCCGTAGGATAGGCCGGCTGCGACGATGGTTGCTAGGCCATTTGTGCTATACCACGCAGCGATCCGTATCGGTTGCTCTGCTCGGCGGTACCATTGACTCGTGATAACGCCAAAGAGGGGGAGACACCCGGCCTCGAACAGGCCGAGGAAAAATCGAGCAGCCATCAAGGAGCCAAAGTTGTGGCATGCAGCCATGCACGTCTGCGCAATTCCCCACCCAAGACACAGCACTGGCATAAGGATTTTGTGGGGAACCTTGACAATCAGGTATGAAGAAAAGGGCTGCCAGGCAAGTTGTGCAATGGGTCCGATGGAGCCGACGAGCGAATATTCGTTGCCAGTAAGACCAGTGTCTTTCTGTAAACCGAATGTTGCACCGTATCCCAGGACCGTCTTATCAAGAATCTGCAAAAAGTAGACCCAGGCGAGTACAACAAGAATAGTCCGGTCGGTCTTGCGGCAGATGCGTTTGCTGTCTTCTTCGGTCAAGGGGACGCGTACAATGCCACTATTATCCATGAGTTTGTCCCCATTTTGCTCCTCTGCCGCTTCATTGTGAACAACATCTGGTTTGGACATGGTGGGGTCCTGCATCGTAGGAGAATATCTATACAAGGTGGTCTTACCTATCAAGGCATATATATATGTCGGTTGCAGCACCCCACGTCATCAATTCTATCAATTCTGGTTTTTCCCCATGTTCCCCCATGTTCCCCCACGCCTCCGCATCCCCCCACGAAAGTCTAACGTCTAGCCCACATGTTAGCCAAGACATTTAGCGAATAAGCCTTGCCATATACCGATTAGTGTTTTCTGTGTCTTCCAATCGGTTAGAATATCCTTGTTTCTTTCCACAAACAACACAACATCGAGTTTCGGAGTGGAGATCCCCATTCGGGCATCCCGTTATTACCGAGACCAACCGAAACTCGGGGGTTCGTGGGGGTAAACCCGTGACCAGGGGGACATCAGGCCAGTATTACCTTAGCACTTTTCCATTTGACAGTCGGGTACTGAAGTGAATTGTCGGTGTTCGCCCTCCATTGCCGTTGTAGATTGTGATTTAGTTACGGGCAAAGGGGCACACGTGCAAGATGTGAGGACTAGCCGAAATATATATCTAGAAATAATTATTATTGGCTTCCAGGCTTTTTTTTTTTTTTTCGCTAGGAAGATTATATGTCTCACGATATTTAACGAACATGATTGAGATCAGTTCTTCCACAATGGAAAAACTAAGGCTGGGTATTATAACCATTGTAGAGCGGAACGCTCTAGGTAGTATGCTCTTTTAGCATACGGGTCGATTCAGCACTCGTAATTCGGCATCATACCAACCGGGGCAAGAGAATTGGGACGGCAGTCCAGGAAGTGAATTTTGAGAGGTGCAGGAGTGTGTATTGTCAATCTGTAACTATCTGCTACTTGTATCCTCTGCCCAGAGTGCCCAGGTGTATATCAATGTTTATATAATAAAACTGCAAAAAGAAAGGAAGGGCAGGTAGGACTAATACGTAGTGAGGACTAGTTATGTCCCCCACTATAATAACTAGTTATATAGTTTTGTTAATTATGTACGCTCTTTCTGATATTTGGTTCACGTCTTAAGGACCTGGAAAAGGAAATTCACGAAAATATTGAAAACAAAAAATGAAATTTTTGTTTCAATCAAACCATTATTATTAACACACAGTACCCCGTAGTACATATTTAAAATGGGATTCAGAAAAACATAAGTGGTTAAAGTTGCCTGAGGCATCAAGGCATCAGCACCAAGGCATTCAACAAGTGTCGGTGGATTCGGTATTGTAAAATGTAGGGTCCAATCAATGGTATTCAACTCTCTGTATTTCTGTATCGGCTCTCTACACAATTTATATGGAGCCTCGATTACATAACATAAATTACGAAAACACATAGGATTAATAAATCCTCCGGTATGCCGGTGTTACTGCGCCGACAACAAGATAAACAAGTCCCCAAACAACGGACGCGTGGACGCGTGGACGCGTCTGACTATCATCGTTTGCAACCTAGGAAACCCCAAGATTCAATCGTCTGGCCCAAATGCTTCACGGTATCACTACTATCTCACCACATTATACTCTATCCATTCCACGAAGCATGGCTAGTCATCTCCCTTCTAAGAACCTGGAAAAAGTGTCGATTTCACCACGTTGATACATGCGATATTGCGAGAACCCGACCCTACTCTTTAAGTGAATCATGACCCCAGTTTTTGAGCGATCGGTAACTCTTGCTCCTCGTGTCGTGCTTGGCTCGCTCCTCTTGCGCTAAATGGCGCTTGCAGTAGGATACCACGCGACGCATGTGGTCAATGTCTTTATCGTTGTAGTCGGACGGGTTCTCGATGGGATTGTTCTCAAGGATCTGAACAATCCTTCGGCCACTATCGCCATCTTTAGCGCTCGTTTCTGTTTTCTAGCTGGAATTTTGCGACCGAAGGCGAGCAAGGAAAGGATTACTAACTAACCTTTCGTGACCAATAGTCTCCCCGGAACCACCCGCCCAACCCGATGTGTGTGATTGATCTTGTTCAAGCCATTCACGAAGCTCAGTTGGGGTCATATTCACGAGATCGTTAAATTCGCTGGTGAGATTGTGAACCATTTTTGTTTATTAAGCCTATTAAAGGGAAGGTACTCAATCACGGTATCTCTGTCCTTCATTGTTTCCACTACGGAACTAAATATTAGACTTTCGGTTGGATGCCACGAGTGATGAGTAGCATTGATTTCGCTGTTAAGGATTTATTGTTTGCAAAGTTCAGTTTGACGTCACAAGCGGCAAAAGCACACATTCCACGGTTGCCATGTCACGATGACAACGCCAGTATCTACCTAGGTAGCTACATCCTGGCTTAGGTTAACTTAAAAGGTGCGTCCCTAGCTACCTAATGTACAATATAGTCCGGGTTATGTAGCACGCATATCGTGGTATTTACCATTAACTATAATACATACAGGTCCGCGGAGATGTAGGATCTCGAGAACATATCCTTATCTTGCCAAGACTCTTAATTCTGATAACTCATTCTCATTTGACTCGATAGATCTTCGCAGTGTGAACATGCTCGCTAGTCAGTCATCCTGTCAACAACGTTCCACTCTTATCTGAGTTCAATGATCATCATAAGTCTAGATTTGAACTAGCCGAGTGCGGGAACTATTTGCATGTAACCATGCTAGAGAGGATTTCCGCCGAGGTGTGAGAGATAAGCCATTCATTTCACCAGGAAGGGAATTTTCGAGCCCAAATGATATATCTTCCCTGGCCATCTAGAGTTATATGTCTGATTTGCCCACGGAAGGGTCGTCACCAACTGAACTAGTATCTCCAACAGACTGCTATCGTCTTTTGATCAAAATGACCTTCGATGCGCTCTCTTCCAAAGAGGTGACCGAGGCCGTCTCAAGAACAGGGGCACATAAAGGGAATATGCGGCTGGACAAGGTATTTTTTAGTGCAGTATCAGCTGGTTGTTTACTTGCATTCGCTTGCGGGACTACTCTTAGTACCACTGCCACACCCTGGTTTCAAGACAATGCCCAGGGTTTGATCCGAACTATCAGCGCCTTGGTGTTTCCTTACGGTCTGTGTATGATCCTCCTAACAAATGCGGACCTTTGCACTGGATCTTTTATGGTATGACTGCCTACAAAACGGACATGGTGACCTTGATGCGGACCATCAAGTGACTAACGTGTATCTTAGTTTACTACATTGGCAGTGCTCCATCAGCGCTTGCCTTGGTCAAAAATGCTCATTCACTGGGCTGTGACATTCATTGGCAACTTCGCCGGATCTTTATTCGTCGTGGCTATCATCTTCGGCTGTACGGAACCGACTTTCGCTTCCCCTTTGCTATAAAACGATGTGACTAATGTTGGTCCCATAGATGGAAATGTTTTTTCCGCAGAGCCGTTCAGGTCCGCTGTTATTTCTTTCGCCACAAAGAAGCAGGTCACTCCTGACTTCCACATGATACTCCTGCGTGGCATTGGATGCAATTGGCTAGTGTGTTTAGCTTGCTTTTTTGGTATCCAAGGTCGTGATCTGGCCTCCAAGGTTATAGGAATATGGTTGCCCACTTTTGCATTTGTTTCCCTGGGCTTCGACCACGTCGTTGCAAACATGACATTCATTCCATTGGGTATCTGGCTTGGAGCACCACAGATTACAATTGGCCTATACATCTGGAAAGGTATCATCCCGACTTTATTAGGCAATATCATCGGCGGAGGTATATTTTGTGGTCAGTACCAACACCCATATTCGCAAATGTCGAAACTAACGAAAACCATAGGAACTTACTATTGGTACATGTACCTTCTGGATCTAAATACCCTGCCTTTGTACGGCGAGGAGAAAATTCGCGATAGCTCATTGAAGTCAGTGTCGTGCTCAGATCGAGCTAGCACCAAGCGACCGGACATTGAGGCATCGGCTGGAGATTTTGGTGACCAGAACCCACATATGAATGTGCAGAGGTAACGCTAAGGGTGACCTAAGTGAATTGGAATACAGCAATGTATCTATCCAATGTCTTCAATCATAAGCTCGATCGGAGTCTTGGGCATGCATTGATCTAAGCATATACATCCATGTATAGTCTCAAATTTCGATATGACTGCCACAGCGCCGATCAATTTCCCTTCTCATCTCTTTGATTTGCCAGAGCTTGCGATTATATGGATGTATATTGCGTGATGCTAGCTTTGGTATATCTTGGCTTGTTAGCCGAGAGCAAACCACCATCGGGTTTCGGATTGGGATCATATTACATACAGACCAGGGTAGGTGTTGCCTGCAGTCTGAACACAATAAATGGGTGCTGTGGTCGTATTCTCCTTATTCTTGAGAAATTGGAAGTCAATTTTCATGCAGATCAGGAGGGAGATACGACCAACAATGAAGCGATAGGCCGAAACCGATCGGCACGATGAGCCGAGCAACCGAAATCCCACCAGACGGGGACACGGAGTGATAATATATATATAAGTCAATACCTATTTCTGATGATAGATCAAAATCTTCCTTCGAGGACACTGGTAATCAGGTTTCTTCGATAAGAGTACTGTTATATCATTCATTCACATCCAATCTCGTTCGACCATGGCCCCCGGACTGGTGGAAGAACCTGGTTCACAGACTTTGTCGCGCCCCATCAAGCTCTCTGTGTTCCCAGATGGATTCAAAACATCTGGCCAGCATCCCCCCGTATATTCACAAGTTCGGCCCTACGCCGATTTCCCGAAGACTCATACCGGCCCTACAGTATGGAAACCCGAGGATTATCGCGAGCATCCTGAGCTTTGGACGCATCAATTCACCACAGAGGAGGTTACAGAGATCAGCAATGCTACAGATCAGTTCATACAGAGTGGAGCCCCTTTGACTGGAATATCAAAGGTGTGATTATGCGCGAGAATTTGACGAATACGAAGTGTGGAAATTAACTTGTCTACAGGCGAAGTTTCCTTTGCCCAATTTGTCCGAGCGGCTGGAAGAGCTTCGACAAGACCTGATTAATGGCAAAGGATTCTTTCGCTTTAGAGGACTTCCTGTTCAGAAATGGGATCTCCAGAAGTGTGCAACGGCGTATATGGGCCTTGGCACATACTTAGGCTACTTCGTCAGTCAGAACGGCCGTGGTCATGTCCTCGGTCATGTCAAGGATTTAGGAGAAGACCCAACCCAAACCGACAGAGTTAGAATTTATCGAACAAATGCTCGGTATGTAGCTACTCATACTGGATGTCGGATGGCGTTGGATCAAAAGTTAACTTGCTCACTAGTCAATACTTCCACACGGATGGAGCCGATCTTGTTGGGCTCCTTTGTATCGCCAAATCTCTGTCTGGCGGGGAGTCTGACATTGCGTCTACGCATCATGTATTCAATTTCCTACAGGAGAGGCATCCCGATGTGACACGAACACTATGTGAGCCCAACTGGTATTTTGACCGGAAGGGTGAGACGTCCGAAGGCGAAGAAGGCTGGATTCGAGGTAGCATATTCTACCTGGAAAACGACAACGGTAGCTCTAGCCCACGAGTCTACGCAAGATTCGATCCTATGAACGTGACATCACTAGCCCGATTCAACTCAGGGCCTGATGCATGTATACCCCCTTTGTCAGACAAACAGAAACACGCCCTGGAGGTATTTGAGAAGACCTGCGCTGAGCTGTCGCTACACATGATTCTAGCTCCAGGTGATATTCAATTCCTGAGTAATACACATGTCTTCCATGCACGAACAGCGTACACGGACCATCCACCTGGGGCGGTTGATGAGGACGGCCGGCCTGCCCGCCGACGACATTTGATGCGACTTTGGCTGTCGGCCCCAGAATCAGAAGGAGGATGGAAGCTTCCGTACCACGATACTTTGGAGAAGAAACGCGGAGGTATTCAGGTTAATGACACTCCTCCTGTCTGTCCCTTGGACGCGGAGTAAAAGTGTAGAACGCTGTATCAATACTACTACAGTGAGTATGAAATTATACATATTGTTCCAAACCGTTGATGCTATCAAATCAAAATGTAAGGCGATCGTCATAGGTAAATAGTAAATAAACATCACCCATTACGCGAAAGTACCCCAAACGCCTTCAGCTTTGCTGAGGGAATGGAAACACAGGCAACCAGGGTTGTGTTTGGGTGTTGGGATATCCACCTGCCCATGGCAATAGTCCAGCTCCCTCCGTTCCTGATCCAACTGCCGTGTCTGCGGGCTGCCATGCCCATCCAAGATCGGACATGAACAAAGTTTGTAGCTCCTCAAGGCTCGCCTGATCAGCCCTAAGCCCAGCTGGACCATTGTCTGCCTGGGAGTCACTAATAACTTCGCAAGGGGAACGAACAGCGTCGACCCTGTTTTCGGAAATGGCACTAGTAGGTGCGGACGCAGTGCTCGCCCTTTCCGGGGCATGTCGCTCTGGTATAGATTTGCGTGCCATTCGGAAAATTGTCAACGGATTGAGGACGTAGTCTGGCGCACTTTGAACTGGAGTTTCTCGAAAGTCGTTACTGTAATTCACATTTAGCAAGTAAAGACCATATTCAAGAAACAGTTACCTTTACCTCATGTCTTCCTCCTCAGTTGACTGATACGGGTCATCGGGTATGATGTTCTGCATGACCACTTCGGACTCAATACCAGAACGATCAAGCATTGTTTCCGCCGCGGAGGACTGGGAACCCCAAGAAGTAGATCAGCAATCCAGAGTTCCATTCAAGTTGGAGGTTGTAAATAGAGAATGTGGACTAACGAGTGAACTTGCAATCGCATTGAGTGGTCCCATTGACCTCAGTGCGTTGATATTACTGTGGAGGAGAGGAATTGCAGCTAGTGCAAGAGCCTTTGAATTCTCTGAGCGTGGATCTAGGATCTGAGTCAAATGGTATACCATGATCCGGCAGCTGTCATACGCGATGGTGGGAAGCCAGGAGTCTGCCAACATCCGAGGACCATGCCTAGCTGTCTGCCCAATGATAGTTGCCAAAGCCCGAGCTGCGTCAAAGAGGACTTGTTGAAGATGCCGAAGAAAGTCAGCTTGTTCAGGAGGGAAGTCGAAGGCGGCTCGGAGTTTGTAAAGCGCAGGGGCACCTAATCGATATAGGTCGCAGATGGTTTGATAATACGTGCAATGAAGCAAACATAGGGCCCCTAATTGCGAAGTATCTTTGCGAATGTACATTGCATCGGGTGTGAATTGTAGACTTGCTGGTAGAGAGTCATACCATGCCCGACAATCCGCATCTAAAAGAGCAAATTCCGATGCAGGGTCCCACGGAACCATAGCGTCTCCTAAATGTTTTATATACCTTGTTCAACTTCAGCAAGTTTCAAGAAAAGAGAGGAAATGAGGATGGCAAATTTCATGCTGAAAATACCTTAAAACCCTTTTGCGGATTGAGATATGTCGAATGAAATACGCCATTATTCCCATATTAGGCAACAGAGTCTTTGGATCTAAATCTTCCGGTAGGATTTTGAGCCAACTTCCAGCATGTAAAGTTTCTGTGAGGCAGGGGACTTGCTGAGTGAAGTTGCGCTCATTGCATGGAAGTTGAATCTTGATGTCTCTTTCATCCATTAAAGTCAGCTGGTCTACTCCGCTGCCAACAAGCGCATCCATTATGTAGCAGCTCCACATCAAGCGCCGACGAGACTCTTTTGCCGTGACTGGAAGACCGTTATCGGTATCCTGGCAGAGGATGTCGGTGTTGTATTCAAGATTGATCTGTAGCCCCTGGGTCATGCGTGTAGTAAGTCCACTCAGCATAAACGCATTTGCGAAGTTCCCCAATCGAACAGCATAATCATGAAGAAGAACGGCCGCCTTGCTAATTTATTAGTGACTATATTGCGGCAAGGAAGTGGGCTTGACTGTCAAGCAGAGCGCACCATTAAACTTTCAATGGTCACACGATCTATGGTCTCAAGAATGAGTCGCTGGGCAATTTTAGCCCATTGGGTGCCCGCAAGAAGGACGAAAGCGGGCTCAAGTGGAGTTGTCGTCTCGCTGTATGACAGAGCATAAAACCTTGAAAATAGTGATGAGCTTATTGGACGTTGTTTCCGAGATATGACTTGGTTGGGCTTACTGGGCTCCGAGTGCACATATCACATGTAAAAGAGCATGATTGTCGAAGTTTTTTGAAACATCTCCATCCAATCGTTGTAGGAAAGAAGGCTTGTGCATAAAGGCAAAGGCGCGCAGAGGGTGGATGTTGTTAGAATACTCTTCGACTAGCATCGTGATTCTTGATGAGTTGGGAAGGTCATGAGTAGCCAACCTGTAGCCAGTGAGCAGAAGTTCAACATAAATTAGCGGAAGACTTCACAGCTCACCAATCAAGTGGAGATGATGAATTCCCAGTGGTCTCCAGTAGTGGGAAAGCCTGTTGTGGTATAGGCGGCGATCCCATTAAGCTTGGCAGACTATCCTGCATAGATGGTATCTGCCCAAAAGACCGCTGAGGAATGGAGGGCAGGGATGGAGTTAAGTCCCTGTTGCCCGTCGAGGTCACGCTGACTCTACGCACCCAAGTGGGCTGTGTGGATTCGGCATAAACACATTCGTTTGAACATTTCCAACGGCATCTTTGGCATGGCCGCTCACCAGAGCATTTGGTCTTCGAAGCACGACATGCTGTGCAAGAACGATATGTCCTTTTTCCTCTCGCAGACTCTCCCTGGTCTATTTCACCTCCGGTTGGTTGAGACCTTAGTGGCGTTGTATAGCCGGAACAGACCAGTCGCAATCGAGCACAGTTGCCGCATTTGCCAGGTCTTTCGTCACATTTGACCTGTGAAATTGCGATTGCATGCTTCAGAATAGCAGATCACGGAGCAGCAAGAAAGCTTCTCACCTTTCGGGCACGACAGGTGCGACAGCCTACACATATTAGCGGAGTGACCGACCCTGTGCAGCGGGTTACTCACCAAACCGTGATCGCGAAGTTTCTTTATTCGAACCCATGCCAATGACGGAGTCAACAATTCAGTAGTGTCATGAACATTGAGAGGAGGTTTCGGACTATCGGTCGGTCGGTCGGCTAATGTGATGGTGGGATATGCATGTCGATGACGAATCACAGAAAATGTGGGGAAGGCCCATTTCTACAAAGAGGCTAGCGTCTACCTAGGTAGGATATGTGTAGATCCATGGATCGTATCGTCTGTATGTATACCTACAACATAACAGGAATAAGATGACTATGTACATGTATTCATTTACCCCGGGGTCGTAGCTATACAGATTCACCTTTATAAAGGAAATATTTATATTCAACAAATCGTTTTGGCTTTAAGGTCCTCTTCAGTAAGGCGTTTAACGATCTCCCTCACATGTTTCCATGAATTGTTGATTTCACTCACACGTGATTATTTAGCCTAAAAATCCTTAAGCTCTTCAGGAAGCACTTGACCCTGGAAGGGCAAAGCTATACCCTCCGGAAGTTTGGCGGGATGCTCGGTCTACGCTCACATGATACCATTTAGTTACGCAAGTTAAAACCTCGAAGCTATATGTAGTATCAGGCAATGGGGTCAATTTAATGTGGCAAAATAAAAGTAAGAGAACAAGATAATTGAAGCAAGGGACCTCGGGAGACATCAATTGCTTTGTCGATGGAAGGTTGAAGGGAGCGAGCAATGACTCGGGACAACAACCCTGGTAACATGGCAAACACTACAAACATAGCAAATTCCACAAACATCACAAAGGGGACGGCCCCCACGTTGACGGTCGAATTTTGCTTACTTCCAAATAATCCATTCCAAAGGTTTTACAGTCCCTCCATTATCGCAGAGTTACTTTTCTTCATGTCGATATGGGCTCTAAAACAGCTGAGAATGAGAGCCAAGGAGGCGGTGGTAAGTCACACAACAATCGATCTCCATCGAAGTCGGCTGACATTTGGCAGATGCTCCTCCCAGCTCAACCAAGGCGAATGCCACTGGTGGGGAACCACGGGGCGCCCATTGGTCCCGGGATGGTGATGGCACACTTGGAGAAGGAGATGGCGATGACGATGCCGACCGCGACAATGTCCCCTGCACTCTTACCCTGTCGTTGAATTCGCAACCTGCACCCTCAACGAATTCGAAGAAGAAACGAAAGCGCCCTAAGAAGAAGTCTTCTGTGTTGAAGCAATCTTCACCCCCGCGAATTCCTCTTGCCGATCTCTTCCCTGATCGCCGGTATCCACATGGCGAGACTCAAAGTTATGAGTCTGTGGCCGAAAATACGGCCCGCACAACTGCCGAGGAAATCCGACACCAGTCTCGTCATCACATCGAAGATGACTCCGTTTTGAATGACTATCGGAAGGCTGCGGAGGTACACCGACAAGTCCGACGCTGGACGCAAGAGAGCGTGCGTCCAGGTCAGACCCTCACCGAGATTGCTGTGGGAATCGAAGATGGCGTTAGAGCGTTGCTCGATAATGCTGGCCTTGATACTGGACAAGGTCTCATATCCGGACTGGGCTTCCCCACTGGTCTGTCACTCAACAATTGTGTTGCACACTACACGCCGAACCCAGGCCAAAAGGATGTGGTCCTCGACTCAAGCGATGTCATGAAGGTCGATTTTGGTGTTCATATAAACGGCTGGATTGTTGACAGTGCTTTCACAATGTCATTTGATCCAACCTATGATAATCTGCTTGCTGCTGTCAAGGACGCGACAAATACTGGCATCAAGGTAAATACTCCTTGCTTCTTATGCTAGACTTACCGCTGACCACTCCTAGAATGCGGGGGTCGATGTCCGTATTAGCGATGTCAGCGCTGCCATACAGGAAGCGATGGAGAGCTACGAGGTTGAAGTCAATGGTCGGACGTTTCCTGTCAAGGCGGTGCGCGGCATCACTGGCCACAATATTGAGCAATATCGCATTCACGCCGGGAAATCTATACCATTTGTCAAGAACAATGACAACACCAAGATGGAAGCGGGGGAGATATTTGCTGTCGAGACCTTCGGGACAACCGGTCGTGGTTATCTCTTTGATGGGGTATGTTTTATCCTTCTTCCCTGCACTCGTCACATACTCACGCATTTCTTTAGCCTGGGGTCTATGGGTATGGTAAAGACCCATCTGCACCAAAAAGGATCACATCGCACCTCGCCAGCGCCAAATCCCTCTATCAGAAAATTAACGAAAATTTTGGCTCACTTGTATTCTGTCGCCGGTATCTTGAACGGCTTGGCGTCGAACGTTATCTGGCTGGTGTGAGTTTTCATCGTTCTACCATGGGAATCATATACTTACAGTGAACAGATGAACAACCTTGTGTCTAATGGGTATGTTGAGGTTTATCAGCCTCTGATGGACGTCAAAGGATCGTATTCCGCACAGTTTGAACATGTTTGTGGGCCTTCTTCCACATAAACTAAGCCGCGATGCTAACATTTCTAGACCATCCTGTTGCGAGAATCATGCAAGGAAGTGATCAGTCGTGGAGATGACTATTGAGGTCGCTTCATTACATCACTCAAAGTGGGGCCCTTTTATTGATTCTTTTCTAGTTTCCTACTTTATCGCTATTCAACATAGCTTTCACTAAACACTCATTTACAATACTCGGCTCTTACCGTTCATTCAACATAGCATAGCTTCTTCTCAAGTTAACATCGATTGCCTCATTTCATGAATCTTTATTTATAAGTACTATTTACTGGTCTAATTCATAATGTCACCCATCTAGACAACTAGATATATGTATAGGGGTGAAAGTTCTACTCATTCACTCTACATATGGGTCGAGGTAGAGTGTGATAATCGTTTGTAGTATCTAAGACAGTGGATCGATAGGCCTAGCATGGGAAATTGCTGAATCCAACTTCGACCCCTTTCCCCAGAAATAGTTGGACAAAGATAATAAACATTGGGATTACTAACACATATGGGGATAATTAAGATTTAGATGGATTGGTAGAAGTTAACTACAACAATGGTGACTAGAGAATTAAGGTTTGAATAAGCTGGTAGAAGCTTAATTAAGATTGAGTTTGTAGGTAGGTCAGCTACTGAAACTACTTTGCTAGTTTTTTGAACTATCTATAACTGTCAGGATCAAGCACCGATGTAATAATTATCTTGGTCTGGCCACCAGCTGAATAAGTGGAATTTGTCCTCTCCCAGAGTGGTGCAGCAGGCTCTCAAAACACACACTGCACTCCTGTCAACTTCTTCGTGGGCCCCAGAGCAATTTCTCGTTTTGACGTTTGCCATGCCTTATTTCCGACCTGACTTAGTAACTTACACCATGAAAGCAACCATATTGGTGATACAGCACGTCAGGTGATTCATTGTACCTTTTTGCACTCGCATATCGCAGAACTGTTCGTATACATTTTAGAGTATAACAATAACCATCATCGAAGTTCCAACGGTTTAAAATTTAGGGCCAGTCGTTTATTGATGCAATTAAAAGCCAAAATCCAAAATACATAGTAACTATAGAAATATTTTCACCCTTCGTCACATTCTTATCGTAGCTGCAACGGTTCATAGGGTTGTCCTAGAAACTAGGCTTACCAACAGGGTCTAGACTTTTGATCTATTCTCCGCCAAAGAAAGACAATCATCATCCTGGATTTGGGAGTATGTTCATAGTGTCTGTACGTTCTCGAAATCGGCTTGACACATATGTCGAATACTAGGATTGGATATATGGTGGAAACAAGGTATAATACCCAGAAAATCATGTGACAACTGGTACCAAGCATACCATACAAAGTGTATAATACAGTTAGTTATCGATGTCCGCACATATTTTTGAAAACGCGGGTTTTGTCATTTTTAGTTAGTTAGAGATTTACATATATCTGTTTTTGTCCATACGTTGTCGTACTGCCAGATTTCTGTCACAACTCACTCTTATGATTTGATTCCGGGAAAATATATCCGATACGAGCTAAGCTATTCTAGGTCACGGACTTTTAGTTACGGCAGAGCTATATTGGTAATAGCCGTACACCGATCAATGAGTTATTGCCTAAGACAAAACGGGCGATCGCCAAACAACCCTAGAGTGCGTTATCACTTATTTACAGCTAAAGAGTCTTTATTCATCTTTTAATACTCTTCAGAAGGGCCACGATAAGGCTCATCCGGATAAATGCCCAGAGACAAACCTAAAACATTATTTCACTTAGTATAGACATTCACCTCGATTCTCCTCCTAAATATCGGGCCTAAGACCCTCTTATAACTATAGCGCTGTCAGAAGGCAATGAGTCAGTGATCCTGCATATCTTTCGCTACGACGACCACAATTACGGCATCTTTTTAGGGGATCACTCTTTGAAATTACATGCTCAATCCCATCTCCAGAGTCTCCCAAAGACAAAGTTGATTGTTTATAAAAGTGGGATTAATGCGCTTAATCAAGAATTGGCCCATTGTGAATTCACCGAAACTAGGCTCAATGATATTAGCTATACAAAAAGCCCGAGGGGCAAGCTAACTACTTTGTGGTAGGCTGATATGCATCAAAATACACCAATTTCTATCCAACACCGATTTACAGCGTTGGTGTATTTCCCCCCCATAGGCAAGTGGTAGTTTGTCCAATGCCAGCGGACCCCGACTCTTTATCTAGAAACGTACATCTAGGCTGATGCTAGTAGATAAAGAGACAGATACAGTGGCTGCCATAGTCCATGATATTACGACCTTCTCAACTAAATGCGGGACACTACAAATCCTAGTGCTCTTCGGTGATAATTTTAGCCTTATGGCTTTCACCACTTTTCTTACAATTTGCGAGAAGCTACGGAAGGATTCTAAGCGATAAATGATTATCCAAACTGTTACATCCACTATATGAATCGTGCTTTTTTCGCGGGCAGTCCTGATGAATCCCACAACTTATGTATGAGGTGATTTGGCCAAAGAGGGTGTTACGATTGGATGGAATGTTCGACAAATTGAGCAGATATGACATGAATATTTCTAATACGAATTTCGTTCCCAATCATATGGCAGCGTAACCCTTGGTTGCTACAACCATAAGTGGCCAGGGCTGCAGCAGGTTAGAATCATGGACTGAAACTCATGCCATAAGATAGATATCCCATCTAGGTAGAGAGAGTCGTTCTTGAGGCACAAGTAATAAACGGCCACTTATCCAACCGTTGCTGTCACCACGGGTGGGTCGGATAAACGAAGCCAACCAATGAAAAAACCAGCGGCAGTCGGCTTTGGCATCCCTAGGTAGACTTCGCCATAAACCGCAATTGGGGCCAAACCCTCGCCCCAACCCCTAAACCGCGTTGGGTGCGGTTTGGAATCGGCCAAACCGCAACCGCACTGCGGTTTTTGATGGGTTCTGTTGGGGCCCCCAAAAAAACCATTAAACCCCATTTTTGCATAATTTTACATAAAATTCATTATAATTAACAATTACCGTATTGTAATTCGCTAGTACCGATGATATTTTTTATCACCTATGACCTTAAATTACTACTAAATTAATGATATATTTAGATTTATATATGTATAAGATATACCAAAATTGCTAGGCCTGTAATTAATAAACCATTTGGGGCGCCAAGAACCATTGCGGTTTCTATTTAAAAAACCATAAACCATTGCGGTTTCTAGACCTCGCCCCAAAACCCGCCCCAATTGCGGTTTGGGTTGGGGCGGTTTTGCGGTTTGCGGTCTATGGCGATGTCTATCGCTAGGTGTCTTTTACAGAGTCTTTGCGGCCCACGCCGACCCCGACCCCAAATGTATGTGGAGTATCTTGCTATTCTAGCGTCAGCTGGTCTTATAGCCGAAGGGGGAAAAGATCCGACGATGATTGAGCATTTATTTGGCACGGTTTGACATCTTCGCAGATCATTTCCCCGATAAGATTGCTTTCGCTAAGCCGTATATTCGTACAGGGGCAAATGCGGTCTAATTGTTTGACAGTGCCAGACCCGTGCGCCCGAAAGAGGGGTCGAGGCCTTTCGAGGATGTATAGCAGGTATTGGAGGCTTGTGGTTCGTTCGGCGACCATTGAACGGCGGGGTCCTCGGCGAAAGTCTAACCTTAAGATGCATAAGCGCCGTGTAATACAAAAGGCTAAAAGCACTGACAAAATGAGTAAAACAGCCATAACTGGGCCCGTATTCATGTGTGATTAGGACTTTCATTTTCCTCTCTCTCATTCCCACTTTTACATTTTTGGCCCGTCAACATGTCGTTCAAGGCGCTCTTGACCGCTATACTGGGACTACTCGCTTTTTTTATCACGAGAATATGGGTAAAACGTAAAACACCTTTAGGGCCACTGCCCCCAGGCCCGCAGCCTAAGCCAATCGTGGGTAACATCGCCGACTTGCCGCCTCCAGGTATGCAAGACTGGATGCATTGGCTAAAGCATAAAGATCTATATGGTAGGCTCAAGAAGCTACGATTGACTGTTGTCTTTATTTTTTTTGTTGCTGATATGAAAATGCGCCCGTAGGGCCCATCAGCTCCGTTACGGTGATGGGACAAACGCTCGTAATCCTTAATGATGCACGGTCAGCGTCAGAGCTATTACGCAAACGCGCCTCGCTGTACTCGTCACGACCACATATGGTTTTCGCGTCTGAAATGCAAGTTCAAAGGCCCCTTTTCTATTTTAAGACGGCAAAGAATAAATATCAGACTATTGGAGCTTACATTAACAGCTTAACAGGGTGGGTTGGGGGCATGCGTTATCTATGCAGCCATACACCGAACGGTTCAGGGCATATCGGAAGCTTCTGAAACCGTATTTCGGTTCAGAGAGGGTCGTTTCACAGTATGCTCAGCTGCAGGAGGTGGAAGCCCATCGCTTTTTGTGGCGTGTTTTGAAGGATCAAGAAAATCTCACGCAGCACATCCAGACGTCAGTGATTCCCCCAATACCCCAAAAATAAAGAATATAGGTAATAACATGATTAAGTAGTGAGGCCGGAGCGGTTATTCTCAAAATAGCCTATGGTTATAGGGTTGAGCCGCACAAGCAAGATCTGCTGGTGAACCTTGCCAATGTGGCCCTTGAGCAATTCTCAATTGCCTCGACACCAGGTACTTGGCTTGTAGATATAATACCGGCATGTGAGTTGCGCTTGAACATTTCCTTTTATCTTTTACCCTAAGAGCTGATGCCAATTTAGTAAAATATGTCCCTGCCTGGTTTCCGGGCGCTGGTTTCAAGCGAACCGCGCTGGAATGGAGGAAAGGCCTTGAGGACGTTGCGAAAAAGCCTTACGCCCTTGTTCAGCAGCGGACAAAAGATGGCAAGTACGAGCCATCATTTCTCTCCGATATATTTAAGTTAAATGGGATTCCATCTTCTGGATCAGAGGAGGAGCTGGTCGCCAGATGGACAACCGCATCGCTTTATGGCGCGGGCGCCGACACTGTATGCTACTTCCCTGCCTCCTTATAACTGATACTATTGCTGACATGAATTAGACCGTGTCTTCAGTTGGAACATTTTTCCTTGCCATGACATTGAACCCAGATGTCCAACATAATGCACAGGATGAGATTGACCGGGTGATCGGGTCTGGTCGACTCCCCACGATAGCAGATCGTGATCGCCTGCCTTATGTCAATGCGGTGGTAAAGGAGGTCTTCCGTTGGCACCCTGTAGTACCGATGGGGATTCCACATATGTCGACGGCCGACGACATGTACGATGGATATTATATTCCCAAAGGTTCTATACTTATGCCGAATATTTGGTGAGTTTTGATTTTCGATAAATCGGCTTGCCATGATCTCGATCATAGGGTCTATATTCTAACTCGCAAATAGGGGTATGATGCACGACCCCGCGTTGTATCACGATCCGATGGCCTTCAAGCCAGAACGTTTTTTGGAGATCGATGGCCGGGGCCCCGAAATAGATCCGCACAGCTTCGTGTTCGGCTTTGGGCGTCGCATCTGCCCCGGCCGGATTTTGGCAGACAGCACAGTATGGCTCAGTGTTGCAAAGTCCCTGACAGTGTTTAAAATTAGCAAACCTGTGGAGAACGGTGCTGAGGTGGATGTAAAACCAGAATTCCAGCCTGGGGTTATCAGCCATCCGGTCCGATGCAAGCTACAAGTCACGCCCCGGAGCGCTGCGCATGAAGAGCTGATATTATTGGTGGAGCAGGAACATCCTTGGGAGCAAGGTGACGGGTCCGAGTTGCATAAGATCCGATGTTAAGGCTCGTATACTTCGTAAAGTTCCAAGGATATTATATGAGCATGAGGGTCAGTTTCGCTATTCTAAAACTAGCTGGGATTCTATAACAAAGGGAATACTAGCTCAAGAAAGCCATTATATAGCTTGCTGGGTCTCTTGAAATTAGGAGATAAGGACGATATCAGGTGATCAATGTCCATCCAAACAATCTAACTGGTGTAGGGATACTATAAGGTGGGTCCGAAAGGATTTGTCAATGGGCAATGTGTAACTATTTATACAGTATAGGAAAACGAAATAAGAGAATTCCGACTCACCGCGATATATGACACCAGCTCTATATGAACTTGCCCACAGTCTCTAGTAATTTTCGTACAGCACACATACGAGAGGCCATAGGAGTCATATTTAAGATAAGAGTGCAGATTGATGGCCCTTAGAGGGAACACCAAGACCCTATGGTAACTTTTATCGTCTCGGGGTAGAAAGAAAATCGTAGTATATGTAGCCAGGCGAGAAGCATCCTATACCGTTTTGATAATCTTATCCTGGATTCGAGTTTTGTTGTCGCCCCATTTCCTTAGGGGCTAGGGCCCCAGTGTCTTGTACAAACATAAAAGCTGGAGAAAAAATTTGATTTTGTGTACTTTTGACAAGACTTCTTCATCTCTAGATAGGGGAAGCAGATAGAATCACCATGTCATGCCCGATCCTGTCCCCACAGCCCTGAAAGTGCAATTGTAGACGAGACATAAGTTCTTCCTGGTTATTCAGACAGTGAGAACCGTTCAAAAGCACAGTTGCTGCTGAGTTGCATCGCTTTGCGATAGCTTCCTCTGGGGTTAGGGTTTAGGGTTTAGGGTTAGGGTTTAGGGTTTAGGGTTTAGGGTTTAGGGTTTAGGGTTAGGGTTTAG